TAATGGACTTTGGAGACTAAAGGTGGAAGGTTGGGAAAGGGGTGATATGGTTTGACTCCATGTCCCCACCAAAATCTCATCTTGAATTGTAATCCCCACATGTGGAGGGAGGGTTTTGGTGGGAGGTGATTGGATCATGGGGGCAATTTCTCCCATGGTGTTCTTGTGACAGTGAGGGAGTTATCATAAGATCTGATGGATTAAAAGTGGCAGTCTCCTCTGCATGCTCTCTCTCCTGCTGCCTTGTGAAGAAGGTGCCTTCTTCCCCTTTACCTTCCACCATGATTGTAAGTTTCCTGAGGCACCCACCACCCCCGCCAGCCACATAGAACTGAGTCGATTCAACCTCTTTTGTTTATATGTTACCCAGTCTCAGGTAGTATCTTTATAGCAGTATGATAATGGGCTGATTCAGGGGGTGAGGGAAAAAAGACTACATATTGGGTACAGTGTACACTGCTTGGATGACAGGAGCACTGAAATCTCCTAAATCACCGCTAAAGAACTTACCCAAGTAACCAAAATCCACCTGTACCCCAAAAACAATTGAAACAAAAAATTAAAAAGGAAATGTTTTATTTTCTACCTACTTTCTTCTCTTCTACATCCAGGCATGTGCTAGAATAGCCTATTCATCATCTCCTAACCACATCCTCTAGTTGGCTCTCCCCCTACCTTTAATTATACTGTTCTCTCTGTCAGAAGTATTCTTCCTCCTCCATCACGTTCTGTTCAAATCTTATATCTCCTCCATGGTACTAGATCAAACTCAAAGACTAGATCCACAGTAGCCATCCTTCATTCCCCAGTCAGAGAAAAAGCTTCCTTTCCAACAGCTTCCCCATGTGCTTCCCTTTCCATGTCTCACTCTCCAAGCTTATGTTCAGTCTTGTTGGGGTCATGCTGCGAACACTTCTTGAGCCAGAACTATGTCTTATTCCTCTTCAGAGGCCCAGAACAACCTTGCACATGAGCAAGAGCTTCATAAATGTTAAACAGATGAAAGGCCAAGCCTGAATCAAGAACTCCTGGGTCCTCTTTCCAGCTCTGACTCTGAACTACAAAGCACAGGAGTAATATAAAGCCTACCACACACATGAAATACTTTTTTTCCATAGCCTGAAACCATGATAGCAAAACTCTGGGAACCTAAGGGGTTTAAAGCCAAATTTACTTTTACTTTGTCTGAATTTCACAGCTTTATCTTGTGAGAAAAATTTTTTCCTGACAGTACGTTGGTAGTTTTTCTGGTCTCATGTGCTCTACCTGGTGGTAGAGAAAATCTGACTATGGCAGGGAATGTTTTGTTCCTCTGCCCACCAGGCTGCCCAAGCTGCAGTCCAAATGCCACTGTGTACATGTGCCTGTATTTGCCCTGTGTACACATGTGCATGAATGTGCAGACCTGTGTGTGCAAGAAAGTGCATGTGTTACCAGGGACATTTGCGAGGACAAAGGTGCAGACATTGGCATATGCCATACCCTTACCAAGTCAGTCCTCTATTTTGGAATATTTTGGCTTTGGCTCATTCACAGGTGATGAAGGTCGGAGACACGGAGACACACACACACACACACACACACACACACACACACACACACACAGGAGAGAGAGAGAGAGAGAGAGAGAGAGAGAATATCTATTCCCCAGTGATAATCACATTACTGAAAACCACCTGGAGTCATCATGTTTATCTTTCTCATTTATCCAAACCCCAAACAGCCTTCTGCAGCAAATCACATTTCAGCACAGCAGATTATTCTGTCTGTAGCATAAACTTCTCATTGCATGTCTCTCAGGAGAAGCCTCTCTAGGTAAATATAAATCTTACTCTAATAGCAACATTTGGAGAAGTAATGTTATTTGCCCTGATTTAGAGGAAACACAACATAGTCTCTAGCAAAGCTGATCCTTTCTTTAGAAATTAATCAAAGGCACATAATCAGAAGCAACACAAATGTTTCTCTGGCAGAGTGAAGCTGTGTGTGTGTGTGTGTGTGTGTGTGTGTGTGTGTGTGTGTGTGTCGTATGGCAGGGAAGGGATGTGGGGTCTTGATGAATTATTCTAGCCTTCTAACTCTCCCTCTGTGGAAGAGGTGGAGGAGTAGGATCCCTCTTTTTTATTCTTATGATGTGAGTGGTTTCTGCAGATCAGTTCATAAGATTCATACAGAGTTGAGAAAGATCAAATGACTATTTCTCATTGCACAACTGAGAGTCTGCAAGTTTTACCCCAAGGGAATATGAAAACTCAATCCAGTATTGACCTCAGCATGTGGAGGTGAGCCTCTGAGAGCGTGGTGAAGGAGCAGGCAATTACCTCCTGAAGGGGAGATGGGGTTTTAATCACCACAGCTCAGTGGGTGGGGAGGGACCCTGTGAGCCTCTTTCCCGCCTGGCAGAGTCATTGTCTTTCTGACCCTTTTCCACCTCTAGCCTTTGGGGAAAGGGAGACAGAGTTTTTCATCAGCGATTTAATAAATAAATAAATAACAGTGCAGGCTGTTCTAAAGCACCACTGACTGCAACCAGCTTGAAAGCCTGGGCACTGGAGTCAGACTGGCTAAACCCACATCCCAGTGCCCCCGCTTACAAGCTGGGTGATCCTGAGCACATTACTTAGCCTCCCTATGCCTCAATTTTCTTATTTACAAGCTGAATTGCTAGAATTGCTGTGAGTATTGAATGAGTTCATGTGTGGACCTACAGCAGGCTGTGGTGCAATGAGCACTACAGAGCGTCAACCCCATTATTATCCTTTTTCACAGCATTGATGAAACCCTGCATGGTGAACCTCTTCCTGGCCCACGTTCTTGTGAAAACCACATTTCACAAAAGAGCATTAAATGTGTAGGTTTACAGACTTCATGGGTTACAAAATACCTGCAAAGGGCTTAGGACAGGAAAACAATATGAGTTAACCCACCCCTCCCTCCATGATCTAAGATCGTTTTAAATCCAGGCCAAATACACACTAAAATGTTCTATTTTTCTTGTGTGGGTTCTATAAAATCCACTTTTGTGACCAGAGGCCGTTTTCTGTCTTCCAGAGTGAAAGTAGGCTTTTAACTACATTTAGGACTGAAAAGAATGTAAGAGAAAGAATCAGGTCTGAATTTAACATCTGTGGGCCATGTGATTTGCCCAAGTCCCTTCTCTTCTATGGGCCTCAGTTTCTCCATCTTTGTAATGAGGAGGATGTTGTCAATGGCCTTTGAAGAATCACCCAGCTCCACCAGTCCATCACCACCCTCATGTTCTAGGTAGTCTTGGGTTGTGACTGGACTTCAGAAGTGGATAATATGTTGGAGGTCAGCCCCAGTGACCAGGGACTCAGGCTGGAGAAGTGAGAAAAGAGTCGATGACTTTTTTGGTTGTTGGCATCTCAGTAGTTTTGTTTATGCCTCGTGAATCCAGCAGAGTGTTAACAAGCATGGGTCTCCTGCCCTATTCTTCCAGCAGCACTCTCATGGTGAGACAGGACCAATATCAAAGACTGAGAGAAGGAATTGGTTGTGGTATGTCAGCCACTTCCCTCTGGAGAGCTGATGGCTCTCAGACTTCTTGATTGCACGACCCTCTGTGAAGTCCTTAAGTGCCCAGATTCTGACTATCTCACCTTCCAGAGAACACTGCTCATGGTACAGGCCTTGCTGCCCCCAACAGCCTCTGACAACTCTGTACTTCATGTCCTTCTTGTCCTGGGGCTCCTGTCAAGCCAAGAGGTGGTGACCAGAGAGCACGGAGGCTGGCCTAGATTCACTAAGGATTTCCATCTCCCTAAAACCACTTGTTTCTCCTCCCTAACAATTTTAGAGCAGGGTTTGAAAACTCCATGTCTGAAATGTAGTAGGAGCACTGCTATCTCCATAAGACAAGACAGTTGAGTCTGTCTCAGCAATCAGAGAATGCATCATTTGACAAATCCTCAAACAGGAATTAGGCACCTGCCACATGCTGGTAACAGCAGAGTAATCTCTGAGTGCAAACTAGATATTATAAAAGCCTCTTCACACTTTTTATCTCTTTAATATTTACAATAACCTTATAAAACAGAAAGTTCTATGAATATGCTGGAAAGTGACACAACCAGGACTCAAGCCAGAGACATTATAAGTACAATGGGAAATATGAAAAAACAAAGGACCTAGCTCCTGCCTCTAAGAGTGAATATCCTGTTGGGGAAAAAGAATGTGGGCTCCATCTGGTTTTGTCCTGTGCTATTGTTTGATAGTTTAATGCCCAATGATAGATAGATAATATACCATGCAGATTAGGAGATATAAGTGTTAGCTCTCTCTGGCCTGGGAAATGAGGAAAAGTTGAGTAGGCTCCCAGCCAGGCTTTGAAGGATAGGGAGAGATCCCACCAGCAAGAGGAAACCTAATCAGATGAGAAAAATAGCACTAGCAAAGGCCACCCAACCATGCCCTCCAAGATCTTACTTCCTTCTAGTTATCCTTGACTAAAGATGCAGGTTTGCATTATGGAAAAGGACAAGGGAAGAAATTGCTGAGGTATTTCCTCACATTCAGAGCTGTGGCTGGCCTGGAGATCTGGGGGCTATCTGCGTAGGAACGTGATCCAGGAAACAGCACTAGAAAATGGTTCTAACAACAAATGGTGAAGCTTAAATTAAAGTTGGCTTGAATATTCCTAAGAGACAGCTCCTTAAACATTTTACCAAGTACTATTTGTGGCAGAAAATGTAAAAACACATCCTAGTATGCTCACCTGTTTGGATTTTAAAAATCCATGTTATACTTATGTAATTCTAGAACATATTCCTGCTTATTTCAATCCACTTATTTATAAATTCCACAGATATTTGAGTCCCTACTCTGGGTTGGGAATTGTTCTGGGCACTGAGAAAAAAGCAGTGAAAATCCATACAGTCAACTCATGAAGTTGCATCCCCACATTTCAGTAGAAAATGGCCCCTTGGAAACATAAGGCATTCATTTGGGACTTTTGGTACCCTCAACACAATGCCTGTGGGAGTCCCCCAGGGTAAGCATGCCCGCATTTGAGGAGTGGAGTCCTCAGAAGATACTCATACAAGCCACGGAAACAGGAAGGACTTCCCTCCTTTAAGGATTTTTCTGTTAATATGGGCATGATCTTCCAAAACTGCACATCAATACAAGTCATATTCTTCCTCTCCTATTATCAACAACCCTTAGGAAGAACCAAACTCTGGTCCTATGATCTCTCAATGTTCCCAAATTATGCCTCTATTTGTCAGGATTTCTTGGCTGCCAATAACAGAAAATCTAACCCCAATGGCTTCAACAGTAAGTACCACCATGTTCTATGTCTTACCTGACGTGGGATGTATGATGGAGGGTTTCCAAGGGGATTAATTTGGTGTGCAAACCAGCATGGCCAACTCACATTCTTTCCACCAGTTTTTGCTGTCACCCTCAGCATGCTAGCTCGACTTCTAGGTAGGCAACTTTATGGCCCTAAGAAAACTACATACAAAATTTTTGACAGTCATATGCAAGTGTCAGCTGGAGAGAGAAGAGTCCATTTTCCCTAAGTGCCTTTTGTTTGGCTGATTGGTTTTGGAGTGAAAAACTCTTATCCAGAAAACTCCTTTGTAGAATTCCCCTCGCATCCTCACATCTTCTCTGTCAGACCTGAATCATATGACTTCCCCTAAGCCAGTCCCTGGCAAGGCAAATGGGATTACCATGATTGGCTGCCATGTGCTTTGAAAGAAGTAGGGATAGTTTCCTATGCTGGAAGAGGAATCTTGTTGAAATATTTTTAAGCAAGGAGGAAGGAGGAAAGGAACAATGCCTCCTGAGTGGATAGCGAAGGTGTCTGACACCATGGTTTCCTCTCATGGGTTGAATTCCAAAATGGTGCTACCTACTATCATGTAAAAAGTTTGCCTCCTACATGCTAAACATTGTCCTAGACAATGTAAAAGACATTGATTCCATGTGCTTTCTGAGTTTTTCTTCAAAACCCCTCTCATAATCTGGATTTTTTTCTGCTTGTTAGTTTGCCTTACTAGCTGGAATGCAAACACTAGGAAGGCAGTGACCATGTGACTCTTGTTCATTGTTTCAACATCTAGGGCAGCATGTGGCACACAAACGGTACATAATGATTTTTTTTTTTTTTTGGATAAAGTTTTCCCTTTTGTCGAAGGGCGGGGGGGAGGGGAAGGGGTCTCCACTCCCTGCAACCTCCAACTCCCTGGTTCAAGCGATTTTCCTGCCTCGGCCTCCTGAGTAGCTAAAATTACAGTCACACACCACCACGCCCAGCTAATTTTTGTATTTTTAGTAGAGACAGGTTTCAGCACATTGGCCAGGATGGTCTCAATCTCCTGACCTCATGACCCACCCACCTTGGCCTCCCAAAGTGCTGGGGATTACAGGCATGAGCCAATGAATATTTTTGAATAAATAAATAGATGAATTCTTTACAAGGTGCAATATTCTTCCTATTCTTCCATAGCCATTCTTCCTATTTTTCCTTTTGGGGAAATTGGTCAACAGAGCTTAGGTAACTTGCTCAAGATCACTCAGGGAGCATGTGGTATAGTCAAATTTTAAACCTAGGTCTGTTAGCTTCCAAGTCATATGCCATATTCCCTGTCCCTGCATGAACACAGCCTTTGACTGAATGAGTCCTCATCCTTGGACAGCTACAACCCCATAGCCTCTAACTGCAGTCATGATCTCTCTCACCTCTGCTCTTGCTCTTCTCCTGGTCTGGAACATTTTCTACCCACCCGTGCAGAGCTTCTCCCCACCCCATATACATCCATGCCCAAAGTGTAGCCCAGGCCCCTCACCCTTCCTGACACCATCATCTTGCCTCCATTTTTTCATCTTCTGCCTCTAACTTAACTGATATTCCCAGGGAGAATGTAAATCCTCAACTATCCCATGGCCTTGAGAGACAACATAGAATAATGGCTATGAACTCAGGTTCTACGGCCGTACTTACCGTGTGCAAATCCCAGCTCCTCTTGTTGATTTGTGTGACCCTCGGTAAGTTTCTTTGCTTCTTTGGGCCTCAGTTCACTGATCTGAAAAATGGGGATAATCATGGAATGCACATCACAGAGTTGTTGTGAAGGCTGAGTCACCATGTGCAAAAGTCTTCATGCAAAGCCCATGCTAAGAGTCATTTAAATATCAACTGTGATTTTTCATTTTTCTTCTTCTCTTTCTTCAACAGCACCAGGCACTTAAAGGATGTTGAAGAAATTCCTGCTAGCACAAATTTGCTAATTCTCTGCCTGCTTCCTCGGTATATGATATTTCTCCTCTATTATCCTACGGATTTCAAGGACAGGCATTATTAGTGTTTTCTCCTTCCTCTGTACCCTTTCGGGGTCTACTGTAGTGATAAGGGCTGAACAGGCGCTTAATAAATCCTTACGGAAATGAACAAACCAAAAAAGCCCTAGGCTTCAAAGAAAATTATCATTTGAATTTCTTTTCTGCCTTTCCTCTTTCCTTTAATTGTGTATCTCTTCTTCCTTTCTGAAAATCAGATTAAGCCCCACTGAGACTAAACCGATAGTGTTTCAAGTCATTTTGTTAATGATGTAAATTGACTGTAATCCTTTTGTTTCATGGCTACCGGCAGTTGGTCAGGCAGGTAACTGAGATGAAGATTTTAATCACGCCCAAAATGTGATACTGGCTTAGAAAATGTCAGCCCTCCACTGCACCACAGAGTCATTTATGATGACGTTGCAGTCGGAAAGAACCCCAAGAAACCTTAATTGGCCTTTGGCTAATTTCAGAAGCCAGGCCTTCCTTGTAATTCACTGTAACACTGGTACAGTTCTCTGAAATAAGATCAGTAAGAACATTTCAGAAAATGGCTCAAGGCCAGATTTGTGCACCACACATTCATTAAGGATGCCCGAGCTAGATTTAGCCTCCAATGCACTTGTCTTTGGGAGCACTGGTTTCCTATTAGAACTTGACTTTTAAAGGCCACAGAAAGAGTTGCTGCTCCCAGCAAGGTTTTGCAGCTGCCCCTTTGGTCCACACTTTAGTGACCCCAGAGAGAAAGGCTGGTGAGAGAGAAAAACAGGATAGTTGATTAACTTTGGGCAGGAGTCTGCGTCCCCACAAAGGTGAGTCTGGAATTGAAATTTAGAAAATGAGAACATATAGAGCATATCAGCTGAGGCCATCCCAGGTGACACCTGGGCTTACACACATACAGTAAGGCCTCATTAACTTAGAACAGGGATGGCAAATGGGTTTCATTTCATATGACATTTCTGATTGATTATAGTGGCTGCTGAGAACACCATGTTCAGAGGGATTCTCCCACTGTATCTCAGCTCAACAAGCAAGAATGCTGTGATCATTCAGCAATGCCTGCTGTGGCAGAGGCATAGGAATTGAACCCATATACCAAGTGTTTGCAGTTTTTGACTTGGAATAATGGAGACAGAGTGGATTTCTGTCCAAAATGTTGAAAAATCTATAAAGCTCCGTTGTGGTTTTTCAATTACTGTTTTCCATGGTAAACAGTAACATAAATCATAAATAGGAATGTCCAAAGTTAGAGCACTTATTTCAAAGTTTTTAATCAATGGACTCTCCCATTCTGTTTTTTCTCTCATGAGAGCCTATTGACAGTTTGTCAGTGAGGAAGACGGTCTATATAGGGGAGCTGTTCTATGGTAATGAAGGAGAGAAACCAAATTCCCAGTGTCGCTCACAGAAAACTCCTCCCTGAGTACAATCACCTTGAAACAAACCCTATACACCTACCCCTATTTCCGTGAGTGGGTTCAGGCAAGCCTTAAAAAGAGAGATCTTGCTCATTCTCACCATTTGCTAAAAGAAGCAATGGCTGATGAGTAACTTACCTGTTTCCTAGAGCTTGCCATCTGCGTCATTGGTTCAGAACAGTAGGAGGGAACCCAGGAGTTGAGCAAGAGCAAAGTCACTCCACCAAAGGTAGCTTGGGCCCCGCTGCTGACACTGCCTGGTGTCAGCTCTGACAGCCGTTTGGCAAATCTACTCCTCCACTACTGCTCATGATGACAGCTTGAAATGGGGCTGGGGATATTCTCCCTTTCCTGAGTAGAGAGAATAAGGGAAATCAACACAGCAAAAAGACATCTTCTCTGCATATTTTGTGGGTATCTACACGCTAATGGAAAAGGCACCATTGATTCAGAGAGTAGGAGGTTTCTTTGCAAGTCTGAGCCGAGAGTGCCAGACACTGGCAGTAGCCCTGGAATAAAGACAGTGCCAAGATTTCTAAAGACATGTCAATCTTTTCAAAGCCTGGACTTGAATGTTTCAGTGCAAGTCAAGGGAGGGAAGAGGGGTTTTTGGGGAAGCAGCTGCCAGAAGTTTCACCTTCCAGCTGATGAGCTTCCCTTTCACGCTGATGAAAGCAAGACAACTTCTTCAGCTTCACCAAGAAAGACACTTAGAAAAAGTCAACTGAGTCAGGCTAGAGATCAGCTCAGAAAAGTCATTGTCCTCCTCTCTCCTTCCCCACTGTGATATCAGTAGCTGCAGAATCAACCCTGGTTTCTAATAAACTTGATGAAAATATGAATAACTTTTTTTTTCAATCCATCTTCTCATGAAATGTAAAATTCCTTAAAAAGGAAAGTGGGCTAGTGAGTGGACCAGTCTAGTTGGAAATTAAGTTAAATTCAATTAATTTACATAAATAAATTGTGTTACTTTGGTATTGTAATTCTTGCTTTGTAAAGTGAAGTTTGTCCCTGCAGACTGTGTCACAGAATGTGTCATGTGAAATTGCCCTAATATTGCTGACAGCCTGGCTTCAAAGTCACCAGGAGATAGATTCTAAGCTCTTTTAAGGACAGAGTCAAGGCTGATACTGCTCTGTTGGATAATCATGTATTCACTTGGCAACTATTTATTGAGCATCTACAGTATTTGTCCACCAGTATACACATGGTACTTAAAAGTAGATACAATAGACAGATGGCCCTTCACAGATCTTATGATCTGGCTGAGGAGGGGCAGGTTATAAACGAGGAATCCAATCAATAATAAAATCCTTTCGGGTGATGACAAATGCTATATTGTACTATAAAAAAATAGAAAATAAAAAGCAGTGAGACAAGCCCCTTGAGATTGGTGGCTCAGGGAAGAGGCGGTACCTAGATGATAAAGAGTCAGCCATCATTCCTAGCAGAGGAAATGGCAAGTGCAAGGTGCCACAGGCCAGGAATCTCAGTGGTACCAGAAACAGAAGGAAGACCAGCATCCCTGGAACCTGGTAGATGAGAGGGAGAAAGACATAAGAGGAGACTAGCAGAGCAAAGAGGGGCTTGAACTTGGTAGAGAGGCTGGGCTTTATTCTAAGTCCAATGAGAAGCCACTGGAACATTTTAAGGTTTTAATCAGTGATCTGATTAGTGTTTTAAAAGGTCATTCTAGCTTCTATTTAGAACATGGATTGTAAAAAGTAAGAAGAGATGCATCTTATATGTACATTATCATTCTAAATCTGAGGAGGGGTAGGCGAGTGAACGGTGAGCAAAAGTCAACAGGCAAGCAATTAGCTAGCTGTATTCATGGGTACAGGATAAGCTGCTGTAACAAAAAGCTCCCACAATACAACAGCTTGAACAATATAGTTAATCTACCCATTGATAAGTCCATAGGTGAATAGTCCAGGGTTTACAAGACAGCTCTTCTCTACAAACTCAGCAAGGACACAGACCACTGAGTTTACCTGGCCTATGGCTTCCATCTCTGAATCCCAGGCAAATGCTTTAGTTTTGCTATTTCCCAGTCATGAAGAAGCAGACAAAGGGAGAACTCCAGAAAGAGTCTGGTCAATGTTTAATATTAATAGCTGGCTCTCTGATAGGGAAAAACGAACCCTGATTTGTAGCATTTGCTGATTTCCATGGTATAAATACTTCTACCATGACTGATTTCAGACTAGCAACAGAACACCTGAACTCAGAGTTGGAAAGAAATGCATATAGTGGGCTCTCACAGGTCAGTATGAGCAGGCTCAGTGTACCACTGACCTCAGGACAGAAAGGAAATCCTTTGCAAGTCAAAGCTTTTGGTAATTCTGATAAAAGAAGTAAAAGCTTCTGCTATAAGCTTAAACTATTCTTATATGGATGCATGATAAGGCACAGCACACTCAAAAACACTGGACTATAGGGTCTGGGAAAAGCTACACGTTAGTTAGCGGAAAGGCGTTCAAAACTTTACTGAATTTCCCAGAAGAGAAACATTTTAAATGATGGGAGTAAAGCACAGGGAATTTTTAGGTCAGTAAAACTATCCTGTGTGATACTGTAATGGCAGCTACATACCATTATACATTTGTCACAAATCTACAAAATGTATCACACGAAGAGTGAATTTTAATGTAAACTATAGACTTTACTTAATAATAATATATTAATATTGCCTCATCAATTTCTTTTTTTTTGGAGACGGAGTTTCACTCTTGTTACCCAGGCTAGAGTGCAATGGCGCGATCTCGGCTCACCGCAACCTCTGCCTCCTGGGTTCAGGCAATTCTCCTGCCTCAGCCTCCTGAGTAGCTGGGACTACAGGCACGCGCCACCATGCCCAGCTAATTTTTTGTAGTTTTAATAGAGACGGGGTTTCACTATATTGACCAGGATGGTCTTGATCTCTTGACCTCGTGATCCACCCGCCTCGGCCTCCCAAAGTGCTGGGATTACAGGTTTGAGCCACCGCGCCTGGCCTGCCTCATCAATTTTAACAAACGCAAGATGCTAAGAGGAAGGGAAACTGTGGGGGATGAGAGAGTATATTGGAACTCTTTATACTTGCTGCTAAAGTTTTCTATAAGTCTAAAACTGCTCAAAAACATTCACTTTATTAAGTATATTAATTAAAAATATTTGTAGGGGAAAGATCACCATGTATACATACATAAATGTGAAAGTGTGTGTCTGTGTGTGCATGTGTATGCCGGTGAGTATGCCTGTGTTTGTGTTCGTACACGTGTGTCAGGCGGGGTAAGGTGATAGGAGATACTTCTTCATAGACCTGGTGACAGGAGACCTAATTAGCTCACTCTCCTGCCCCTCAACCTCAGAACTAACAGAGTAAGCCCTAAAGCAATCCTTCGGAGGAGATGCCCGTCTTGCCTCCGTCAACATGGTGCCTTCCTCCATGAGGAAACTAATTAATGTGGGCTTATTAATGCGGGTCTGTCTGAGACTGTACTTTCATTGCCTATAAATATTTCCCACGGCAGTTCCCCTAAATTAGGGGTCCCCCAGCCTTACATCCATTTATTTGTAATCCCACTGTCTGCAATTGTATTGGAAATAACCATCCATGTGCATTCTGGTCTTGGAGGGGAAGGAACACCAAGATGGCGCCTGAGAGGAATCACTATCTTCTTCTCCCTTTGTCCTGATACCAAATACAAATAAACATAATCTATATTGTGATCCAAAATATCTAATTTCCTTGCTATTCTACTATGGCCTGTATGACAGTCCCCCTCCAGAACCTGTGAATATGCTCCTTATATGACGAAGGAGACTTTGAAGATGTAATTAAAGATCTTGAGGTGGGATAATCTAGCCAGATGGGCACAATATAATCATGACAGTCTCTGCATGACAAAAGGCAGTGTGGCAAGGGAAGTACAGGGACAAAGAGAGAGACAGATTACAAGATACTGTGCTGCTGGCTTTGCAGTTGGGAAGTGGACTTGAGCCAAGGAATGCAGGCGGCCTCTAGAAGCTAGAAAAGGCAAGGAACTGATTCTCCCCAAGAACATCTCAAAGAAATGTAGCCAGCTCACCCATTTTAGGATTTGTGACCTCCAGAACTGTAAAGGAATAAATCTGTCTTGTTTTGAGCCACTAAGTTTGTGGTAACACAATTTGTGATCCAAAATGGAAAACTAATATACATCCCTGCCGCCTGAGAATCTGCACTCTCTTCAGGATTCCAGCTCTCTAGGTATCTTTTTGCCTGCTTATTCTTTTTTCTTTTAGCACCTACTTTAACCTGTGACCTCTGCAGTGAACCTTGAGCCCTGACAAAACACACACCATCTTGTCTCACTGTTGTTAGTGCCAGGCACAATTGCAGGCTGGTGCATCAGGGCACTCATAAGCACCTGTCGAATGAATGAATGAGTGAATGAATTTTTCCAAATTTATTCCACTCTCAAAAGGAAATACTGGGATTATTAATTTTTTTTTCGTATTTTGTTTTTCAGTTATCTTCCCTCTATCCCATAAAAAACCACCCACACACATAATTTTGGTGACCTCTAGCTGAAAGTACACACAGATTCATTTTTTGTTTTGACCTGGCCCTGTGATCTAAGCTCTTTATGGGATTCCAGTTCCCAGAACTTCCTCCTGGTAAATGAACATCTCAATTTATTTTTATGTGGACTGTCAATTTAAACTAAAATCAGATGGGAAGCTCTACAGAGCCCCAAAATATACCTTTCTGGGTTGGAGTCACAAAGAGACAGTGACCGTATCTGGTACAGTTTGCATGTGGAACTAATAAAGAAAACCTTAAATCTAGGCTCATAAATAGAAAAAACTGCTACCAAGTCACAGATTGTACTCTAACCCAGCCATCCATCCCAGATATGCAACATCCTGGGTTACAAGGAGACTAGGCAACAAATTATAAGCAGATGAGATCCTAATATGGAAAAACATATCAAAGGCTGTCTCCTTCTGAGGGTGGATCATAAAGTCTAAAAGTATCCAAAATATGATTTGCAAAGAAATATAGAGACTGATAGTTCAACTTCTCTTCAGAGCTTGGTAAATGACTTCTCTCAGATCTGTTTTCTTAAGACAGTAAAAGTCTGTTTCAAGTCTCGGTACCACATAAGTACAGGAAGGCACCTTTTTAAAAAAAAAATGCAAGGAATTAATGAAATGATCACATTAACTTTCTAAAATTTCATATCGACTAATTTCACCTTTGGTCCTTTACAAAGCAGTTGAACTCTGTCAACCAAGAACACACGCAACACATGCAATACGCATACAGGCACACAAACACAACTGGGAAAGCTGCAAACATCAGCCCTTCCCACCCTC